TCACCACGCCCAGCAATATATATATACTTTTTTAAAAAATATTTTTTAAATATTTTTTATTGGTTGTTCAAAACATTACAAAGCTCATGACATATCATCTTCCATACATTTGATTCAAGTGGGTTATGAACTCCCATTTTTTACCCCAAATACAAGTTGCAGAATCACATCGGTTACACATCCACCTTTTTACATAATACCATATTAATGACTGTTGTATTCTGCTACCTTTCCTATACTTTTAGTGCATAATTTTAGTCTAATGGGAAGAATAAGCTTTGGCAACCTCTTGCACAGAAAGGCAACTGTATTAAGTAATAATTCATTGGATTTGTTATTCTTAGTAAGTGTCTATGACATTTCTGACTCTAGAGGATGGTTCATCAATTCCAGGATATGTCCATCAATGTCATTCATTAATGAGCTTTCTTCTGGCTTTGTTAAGTCTCCCTATAGAAGTTTTAAAAACTTGTTCTGCTCTCTCTGAATTTCATCTGTTCTTCTCCTTTGTAAAGAAAATGTTTAAGCATCAATTTTAGATTTATAAAGTATTGATGACATACATAAGTCTCTGCAATCTCAGTAGGTGGTATTTTCAAAGTGGCCAACTGTTTTGATAGAGGACTTTATTTTGACCCATTTATCATTTAGAGAAATATTTTGTCATAAAACATTCTCATTTACCTTTTTAAATTGAATTTAGAATTAAAACATTGTGAGCAAATATTTTTATTCTCAAAAGTGTAATTCAGCTTCTTGTATGGAGTCCTAAAAGGTGGGCGTGTCTGTGTTCTAGATGTGAAGTCTGTTGAGCTTGCTGTTCTCCCGCTGTCTGTGGGGACTTGTGTCATTCAGATCTTGCTGGTTTCCTCTGTGGTTTTTGCAGAGGGGATGATCATAGCTTCCCCTTAAATTTTGCCTTTTGGTTTCTTCTTTTAGCTAATTGTTTAGCACCATTTTCTGGTAACATAAAAATCTAAATTTGTGTTTCTATGTTTTATAATCTTTATTAACACGTTTTTATTTAGTCTAATGAACTAGCTTACCTTAGCTTATCCTCTATCTAAAATACCTTTTCTCCATTTATTTCTCCCAACTATGCATTTCTTGGAAGCAGAATTAATTAGGTTTCATTTCATTTTGCTTGTCTGTCTACAAATTTAGATTTCAAAATAGAGAATTTGGTGTTTTTCCAATACTGTGGTGAATGCTATATTTGGGACATGTCTCTCTCTTCCATCAGGCTTGGTGCTTTGTACTATATTTTGTCTTCTTCTGAGCTTACAAGAATCGATTGATAAGTATATTGCTACAGTTCCATTTTTCTCTGTGCTTAATACTTATATACTCTCTTCTTAATTTTTTGYTCATTAACCTATAAATTGAGACATTTAAAGCCCATGAAACCTTTAACCTCCTTCAGATTAATGCAAAAATTTAAAATACCTAAATAATTCCCCTCTCCCAATACTTGGGCCGTTATGATTGGTTGATTCTATATCTTTCGCTTTATAAAGAAATTCTTAAAACACCTTTATACCATGGTGTTTTAAGATTTGTAATGCAAAAAAAAAAAAACAAAATAAGAGAGCTCATGTAAAACGGCATAATTTGGCGTGAACATACTCTATGTACAGAGTTACGAAAAATCATGCTGTGAATGGATAATTATGAATGTAATGCAGTCCACTGTTGTCATGTATGTAAGAAATAAATAAGTAGATAAACTAAAAAAAGAAAGGAAATTCCTACTAGATGTACTTCTGTCATGATAAAAATTCTTTACATACCTCTCACAGTATAGACCTTCCACCTGAGTGTCTACTGTGTCAGATGCTCTTAATTTGAGTGGATCCAAGGACTTGCTTTAGTACTGAAACATATGTCCAGGGTTTAAGAATTTTAGATTGCAAGCACATTATACTTGTTTCACTTTGAGATAGAATTCAGCTGAGGGTAATATGTGAATTTATTTACTGTTACATTTGTCTCTTTTATTTTGAATAGTTAAAAGTTTTATTTGTAATACTATACCTTTTATTACATGTCAATTTTAACTCAATAAGTTAATTAAAATAGAAAGAAAATCCATTTTTTCCAAACAACTTGAGATGTCACGTTTATGTTATGGTAACTTTTATTAGTGATGACTTGGTGTATTAAAGTACCTGGAAGCCCTGATCCCCAATATTGTTCTTTTTTAAAGATTTTCAAATAGGAATGTCATACTCCCCGTGTGCTGCTATTCCAATGATCTCCCTCATAGGCATCAGGTTAGCACCATCTTGGGAGGATGGCCATCTGTCTGCTGTTAGGTTGCCATGCTTCCCAAGAGCAGAGGAGATCCTCCTGTCAGGTCGCCAGGGCTGCTGTATCTGAGCACTGGGCCCCTGTGGCCTAGAATACCAGAAGTGTTGCTCCAGGGTTCTGGAACCAGAGGTCTGAGGTCAGGACATCGCTGAGCCCCTGGATTTCTGCAGGAGAAAAGCAGGAACTGATTGTGGCCTCTGCCC